TTGATTCACTTAACAACAGGGTTACTAACTTATCAATTGCATTGATTCACTTAACAACTATGGCAAGAAAGGTTGTAAAATGGGGCAAAACTCACTTAATAACTGTCCTGCATAGCAACAGAAATGTTGGGCTCCAATATTGGTCATAAATTGAGGACTATCGATATCATGATGTGCATTTTCATCAAGACCAAACATATTGATGAAATATCACATGCCATACCTACAAATCAGTCTTGATTGATTTGCAAGGTATCAAGAATCCACATGTGAAATGCTACCCAAACAAACAGAACCAGGAATTTAATGTGATTCTGGTTCCGGATGGAATTGTATTCCTCTAGAAGGAGCACACACTTGTGATATGCTTGTTATCACATTCAATATAATGTTATGAAAATTGTGTATAAAGTTATGAAAATGTAAATTCAAATTGAATATTTGAAAAAAATATTCTAATAGTAACAATAGTTTGACTCTGGAACCAATTATCCAGAATTGGTGGACGTCCTCTTCATTAGTTGCGCTCAAACAGAAGCTAGAAAGTCATCAGGGATATTCTGATTCCTATCTACAATAAGGGGTTGGAGCTGTTTGCATACATGATATTTCTATTCTCTGGCTAATCAGTTCCTAGTTATAGCTAGATTAGAACTGGTTGGTTTACAAAAAGAATGTGTTTTATATGAAAAAGAGCTGTTTTTAATTTTCCTATGTTACATTAAGAGTTTCTCTATTACATTTCTGTCCTTCCTGTCTTTTTTTCCAATTCTAAACAGAAATATGTTAGAACCAATTAAGTTGATGAGTAAGACTAGCTCGGCAATATTAAGCCACTACTAAATATTTTCTGCTGTTGTATAAAAGGAGATATGCCTCCAATTTGAGTTAAGCATCAGGCGTTATATTTTCTCACTCAAGTGAGCTCCACCTTCTCATTCAAGTTTGTGCTTTATAGATACACATATAATTGGCTAGATTCTCCCCTTCATGTGATTCTGATAGATATTTCAAAATTATCTCGTCCCTCTTACAATACTCTCCTTAGTTATTAATAATTCATTATGAAATTGAAAAAATGCACTTCATCTAAACATTAGCCTTCATTACTTCCTCCGGTCTTTTTAATAATCAGTGTTGTCTACATAATAGGACTGCATAATTCAATATACTTTATTTTTTAATTTAGTGCTAGTATAGTGCAGTATTTAAGATGTTGGACTTGGACTGGAATTATCAGTGGATAATTTTGAACTCTACCCAGGCTACTTACGTTATTATTCAGATAAAATGAGTTTCCCCAGGTATGCTTGCACAAGGAAAACATGATATAAATGCAAATAACTAATATTACTGNTATGCTTTTTCTTTCATTTTTGTAACACAAATTAGAAAGCAGAGTTCAGTAAACTTGCTACAATTAAAATTTTCCATTTTCGCAATAGAGAACTACTCAAAAATAGATTATAATATGTAAAAGTGCATTGTATTTTTACGGTATTAAAAATTCAGACTACCTTACAGCCAAGTAAAAAAGTCAGCGGTCCTAGATTGACATTTAAATGTTTATAATTGTGTCTTTTTTTTCAGCTACGTCCACCTCAGCCTCCTGTGTACCTCTTTGTATTTGATGTGTCACATAATGCAATAGAAACAGGATACTTAGACACTGTCTGCAAGACTTTGTTGGATAATTTAGATCTGTGAGTCCTTTGCATCTTTTCAATCTATTGATGTAATCTTTAAAATTCATATCTGTCCGATCCTGAACCAAGCACAAACACACAAAGGGGTAATTTTGTTCTGTTTACTAAATAAATAAGAGTTGGAAACAGATGCCCTTCCAATATAAAGTCCTCCCTCCCCCAAAGTTCAGCAGTTTTGCTTTACAAGTGTTCCAAATCAAAGCAACACACAGGAGAGTTATCAGGTGGAGTCTCTGGATCAAAGCATGTAGTAGATTTGTCAGGATCTGTTTAGGATCCTGACGAATTGTTTAGGATCAAAGTCAGGGTTGCAAGGTTCACAAGTCAAGGCACACGAAGTAGAAGTTAGGGTGGTTGTCTTCATGGAACAGCTTGTACTTGCTGCTCCATTTTAATAGAAGCAACCCCAGTGCAGCTCATGTTAGGGCGAGACCTCTTCTGTGGTGAGCAGTCTCACAGAGCACAAAGACTCTACTCTCTTTGCAGCCTGTCAGGCTCTTGTGTTGAGAAGGGGGAAGTAATTCTGCACTGTCATCTTCAGAAAGTGACAGCAGCTGTGTGTGTTGTTTTGGACTTACCTCTTTGCTTGCTCAGGCAGCGGTCTGTCTGATGGTACGTGGGCTGGCTGCTTGTTGTTTGTCAGCACTTCTGAAGCTGACTCTGGCTGCTTATTGTCTGTTCCTTCCTCTGACTCAAAAATGAGCCCACCAGAATGTATAAAATTATAGTTACGAGAGTATTCGTTATTAAGGTATATTTACAGAATTGAAAAACAAGATAGCATAAACAATTGTTTAGCTTATTGCACGTTGACATCAGTATACAGACAACATAAATTTACACAAACCTGCATGATGAAAGTTTATGGACCTTTTAGAATTATCTGTAATCCAAGTAGCATGACTCGCAACGTGATTTGAGGCTCATCTTTTAATAAGAATGGATGAACTGTGTTGAACTGACATACATTCTTTAGGAAATGTGTCCATAATCCGAAAGGACAGTTTGCTTAAGGAACTCTGTATGTTGCAATGTTTATAAGAAACAAATAAAATGTCTCTTTCTGTAATGAAGGTAGAATTTTTCTCCATTTCAGAATATCTCCCCTGGGTCGTTCTCTGTCTTTCTGTTTTGTTATCTTATTGTCACCCTAAAATTCTATTCCACTACTTTGAAAATTAATAACGAACCCATTTGAATGTGAGCTTTACAGCTGTTCATGGAATAATAATTTATTTATCTACACTTAACATGTTACATGAAATGTTGTTTTAGGAAAATATATAAGTTCAACTTAAATGTGTACACTTTATATATTTAATGCCTAGCCCTCAATTTCTCTGCTTCATTTTCAGACTCCCAGGGAACACTAGAACAAAAATAGGCTTCATAACATTTGACAGCACAATCCATTTCTATAGCCTCCAGGAAGGTCTCTCACAGCCTCAAATGTTAATCATTTCAGATATTGAAGGTAAGAAGAAATAATCTCAAATACTAAATTTATGAAGTATGCTTTATGACTCTTGTCATATACTCCTAAATTGGAACATTAATCCAACACTTTTTCTGTTTTCAAAGAAGAAAAAAACAATTACAGGACAAGTCTTGGTACTTTGCTATTAAAGATGATTCTCAGTCATACTGTAAGCTAGGAGAGCAAGAAAGGAAAAAGAGCAAATGTCCTCTAGTCAAACACAGCTAGAAAAACACTCCTAGGTAGAATATGCCTCAGGGTCTTTCCTGTTTTTCAATTTTTGTTTTGCAAAAAAAAACCACCCTAGGGTTTAAAATTTTTCATTGCAGATTTTGTTTCACACATGCAAACTAGCTATCTGGAGAAGTAGATTTGTGATAGTTGTCTCATTTGCTATAGGCATTTTAGGGATACCACTTAGGTCACTTACAAATTATGTCTTATCACACTTCCATTATAGGAAATGTCAAAGAAGCAAAACACTTCACACACACCTCTCAAGAGGTTTTTTTTTGCTTTTCAATTTCACTGTCACTTTCTGGCTATAGGTCCAGGAAATAAATACTATTATTTCTGTAGTTTCTAGAAGATCTCTCAGGACTGTAGTAGTTTGTATTGGGGTAATGTGGAAGTGTTGCCCACTTAGATTGTGTGTGTCTGTGTGTGTGTGTGTGTGTGTGTGTGTGTGTGTGTGNGATGGTTCCAATTAATCCTATGTAAAGGAAAAAATGTAGGCTCACATGGTTCTTTCTATACATAACAATTGTACCTGAATACTTTCTGTAAGAAGGTTGAAGTTATTAAAATGATAGCTGAATTTAAGATTGGATCCTATAAGCTAAAATAAAAATTAAAAAGCTGGCATGATATTCTTTTTCAAATATGAGAGCAGGGAGAGATTGTAAAGAAACAGTTATCAGTTCTTATGTTCATGGATGAACAGAATAGATAGCAAAATGTATGGACTTTATTTGGCTCTGTTGTGATAGGGTATACTAATTACATTTGTGGGTTATTTGAATAATTTTCAGATAGTTAAAATTTTATATGATGGTTATGATATTGAGGTTTATATTTGTATTCAGGAAGTCTTCAACTTAGTGGCGACCTATGTGGAAAAAAAGGAGGGAAAGGGGAGTTGTGGCCTTATTCCAAAGTTTTGGTGGTTTCTTCTCCCATTCCCAGATCACATGGTTGCACTTGGCAACACAGCTGTATTTACAATTGTTTGCAGCATCCTGTGGTCCTATGGATCACATTATATGACAATTTTACCACAAACAAGAAGTTAATTAGGTTTGCTTGATAACTGCAGTGCAACTTTCACTTAACCACCACCACAAAAAATCAGGTTGGTTATGTGAGTGACCCAACTTACGACCATCACAACACTTGACAGGAACTGGCAGATTCCATTACAGTCGTAAGTCAAGCACTATCTACGCCACTACATTGCAATTAAAGTCTACAATACAGCAGTATTTTTCAGCTGTGTTGGTATGTCCTGCTGGAATGTCAGTTGTACAAGGCACTGCTTCACAATTTCATAACCCAAAGAGTTTGAGAACATAATTTTTGCAATGCTGATAAGCCAAAGCTTCGTGATTTATCTTAGTACATAAAAATTAGGGTCTTGCAACTGGGGAATACCCAATTTACTAATTGCTTGAATCCAAATAAAGCTCTTATTAACTTACGCACTGACTGTGGGTTTTAGTGGTTTGTTATAATAGGAAGCAAAATGAACATTGGGTAAAAAGGATTATTTGCACTTTTTCTATATTTGAGTATATTGCTAATGCACATTTAAGTTTTGAGAAATGTAAACATGTTTAAACATTTGATGGTTAAATGCTTTCAGTAAAGTAGATTCTGAAAAGAATATAAGGAATCTTGTTTTGATGCTTGATAGTAACGGTTCTTTTAAAACAAAAAATTAAATATTGTAGAAGCTGTATTCTTCCCCAAATTGCAAAAATTGTAAGCACCTTTAACTACAGATTTATGGATTGCCCACCCAAGTGACTATGTCCATCGAGACAAATGTTATAGAAATTATTCATACCTGTATGCTTAATATCATACTTGTATGCTTACACATGATCATCTGTATGAATGTAATTAATCAATTAACCCTTAGATTATGTTTTGTGAATAGAATCTAATGCTTGGTTAGCAATTTATGATGGCTTCATTAGAACTAAGCATTGGATTCATTTGTTTTCCTCAGTGAGAAAATATTTTGTTTGAAGCAATGAAAACCTGAGGTCAACTTTGCTATTTTCTGCATCTCTTCTTTCTCAATTGCCAGCTTTACCCCTCATATGTTTCTGTTTTTTTTTAATTTGGGTTTGCTTTTGAATATTTAAATTATATATAGATTTGTATTCTAGCTTCAGAAATATCCTGTTAGATCTAAGGCTGTACTGTAGATATTTAAAAAAAAAAAACAGTTTGCAAAGGCTATTTTGGATTCTGGTGGTGAATAAATAGTATAGATCCAGAAGTATATTTTTCAAAGTATGGTGTTACTTTCTAATGTTTCGTTTCTAATTTGGTCAGGATATCTACTTGCTTTACAAGTTAATAAATGACTGTAGCAGGAGATAGTTTGGTTTAGCAATTAAAGCGCTAGGATACAAACCAAGGGACTGTGAGTTCTAGTTCTGCCTTAGGCATGAAAGCTGACTTTGGACCATTCACACCCTTAACCCATGACGTCAAGCTCAAGTGACAAACCAGTCAGTCAATTCCTGTTACAACCAATTTGGTTGGCATTTGGTTGATCAAAAGAAAAAAAAAGAGATCCCTGCTAGGAAAGAAAAAAATAACTGGCGTAGCAAAATCCTACAAACTATTAAAATTTTGCATTTGTTATAGTTTCCCCCCACCCTAAACTGAATGCTGCATAAGATATAGGGTGGTCCCCATTCTTCAAACATAAGAGAGAGAAAAGTAATGACTGGCTGTGGAGATCAGGAAGGTTGACACATTTAGTAATTCTTTAATCCTTTGATTTTCCATATAGGTTGTTCCGGTGTACCTTGACTAACATTCCTCAGACTCAGGCCTTACTGAATAAAGCCAAACTACCCCTGGGGCTTCTACTTCACCCTTTCAAAGATTTATCGGTATGTTATTTAATGTTTGAAAATGTTAGGGTGTGGATTTTCAGAAATACATAGCCTATATTCAAATTATTCTAGTCAATGTTCTTCATATTATAAGAAGTGTGGAGTTCAATTCCCCAGCTGCAGCCAATTCCCAGAATTCTGGGAGTTGAAGGCCACTCATCTTAAAGTTGCCAAGTTTGACACTGCTCAACACTGCTCTAGATAATAATAGAATTCTACATGCATGTATTATCCGTAATTGTCTCAGAGATTAATTCCAGAAATTTACTTTGATGTATGTAATCTGTTGTGATGGCAAAATTTGAGAAACTCTGGCTGCAGCAGTTT